GTTTTCTTGGGGGGAGGGGGGGTGTTGCTGTTTTTGTGTTTGGTTTACTGCTTTTTTGTTTGGTTTACTGCAAATATGATACTTTGGATAGCATGAGATTATGTGTGTTATGATGGAAGTGCTGTTCTCCAGTCACTTTCCTTAGTTTACAGATATCCTTTCTCAGCTTCAGCCTGTAACAGTATATAAATTTGGCCCACTAGCTATACAGAATCAACTTTCTTTACTTGCATACAGAACACATGCACTTGTGCTCTTCTAAGACACACAGATTTTGTTTGCAAGAAAATTATGGCAAAGATATATTAACTTTCCTGCTATTCAACTCCTGGCTTCTATAGTTAAAGGAAATAACCTACAAGCTTTTAGTCAAACATTAGAATCAGCAAACAAGAGAAATGTGAGCTACCAAGGTAAGTTTCTGTGCTCTGAAAATTATTCCTTAACTTGGTATTGTGAAGGAATGAACAAAAGCAGCTGGTGCATATGGTACATTTCTGTGAATACCTTTCTTCAAAAACATCCACAGTAAGAATATACTGTATTACGTGTGACACTTAAACCAATTTATAATCAAAGGAGACAGCTGTTTAACCATTTGGATCAGTTGTTTAATCTATTTGACCTTCTGAATCTCACACTAAAGAAAATACCTTCTGAACTGAATTAAAATACAGTGGGTGACATTCTATTTGTAAGAGATTCTTAAGCTGTGTGTTGTAATGAACAGTTGGTTCTATATGTTTAAAAAGAACAAGCTGTTAGGAGAAACTACATTGTGGGAACAGGTATGATTCGGTCTACAGAGGAAAATAAATACAGTTCAAACTACTGAAAAACAGGTTCCTGCAGCAACCGCTTCTCCTCCTTTGCAAAGGTCAGAAAAGAAGGCTGGTTTCAGCTTTTTCTCATTTGAGCTTGACAAGCCCCTGCTGACGAATGAGCTTCTTTCACTACACTTGTTCAGAAGAATGGTAACTTTCTATTTTTGAATGTTTGTGCAATTTGACTAGTTTGGAAAGTCTGACATCAGCGATATACCAAAACAACCTGAAAGCTAATGCAAACCTGTGGATAGAAAGACTTGTTACCTCAATTTCAAGACTGAATTCACAGCCTGAAGAAAAGACTAAGCCAAAAGTAATTTAACAATAATTACATAGTACCCAATTTCAGGAGCAATCCACTGAAATACAAGTACCAGTCCAGGTATGACAAAGTAGGAACAGGTGACCACATTGGTAAGTACAAACTCACATTTAACACCATCCAGAAATAAAGCAACAAACAGCACTTCAGAGGCAGCTCTGTCTTTTATGGATGAATTATTTCTATTACTAATTGGCAAGACAGACACAGTAAAGTGGACCACGTTACTTCAGAATTCATGGAAGATACTACTCCATTTGTATCTTCCATAAATTCTTGATTACTGAAAGTGTTTCATTAATCTGGAGGTACTATTTTGACGTAACATCATCTTGGTTGCTGAACAGCGAACTGCAAAAGGCCCTACCTGAAGATGATATTGGAAGCCCTTTATTTTTAAGTGAAATGAAGGTATCTCAGCTAGTATTTTTCTACCTATCCCAGCAGCTCAACTTCTGCAGAAAAGTGGAGTAAGCCAAAACTGACTGTTAAAAAACTTGACCAAGCAAAACTAACTCTTACACAGTCAGTTGAAACCACTGTGCTTCCGTTATTATGTGTTATTATTTGAAGCACACTTCGTTGACCCCAGTGGCTGAAAATATATAAAGAAAATATGAGATATGATCACATCATGTGCCATATGCCATGAACACATGCTCTTTTGGGAAAGATGTAGGCTTACAGTCCATGTTTCATACCAATGTTCATCTACAGATGAACTACAGCACTGGTTCCTAACCTTTCTTTAGGGATAAGCTATTCAGTTCACAAAGAAGCCACTCACAAATTCTATGTCTCTGCTTTATTTGTTGAGTATCATTAAATGTGCATCAGTCACATCAACACATTTAATGCACATGAAAACACAATACATACTGATTGGTTCACATGAGGAAAGGCCTTCTGTGCATTCTGTAACATAACAGCATGTTTCACAGTATCACACAGTATCACAGTATGTTAGAGATTGGAAGGGACCTCAAAAGATCATCTAGTCCAATCCCCCTGCCGGAGCAGGAACACCTAGATAAGGTTACACAGGAACGTGTCCAGGCAGGTTTTGAATGTCTCCAAAGACGGAGATTCCACAACCTCCCTGGGCAGCCTGTTCCAGTGTTCCGTCACCCTCACTGAGAAGAAGTTTCTTCTCAGGTTTAAGTGAAACCTCTTGTGCTCCAATTTGTACCCATTACCCCTTGTCCTTTCATTGTTTGCCACTGAGAAGAGCCTGGCTCCATCCTCGTGACACTCCCCCTTTATATATTTATATACACTAATAAGGTCACCCCTTAATCTCCTCTTCTCCAAACTATAGAGACCCAGCTCCCTCAGTCTTTCCTCATAAGGGAGATGCTCTACTCCCTTAATCATCTTAGTTGCCCTGTGATGTTTGTGCTATCACATCACCAAAACACTCTTTTATCCCCCACATTTTCATTATGGGTAGACCATGGCAAAAGCAAGCTATGGGCTGTGAGAATCCCTCATGTGGCTTGCAGTCTGCTGCTTATCCATACCTGGAAAGCAAGGGGGCAGCTATCAGTTTGTATTTTTATAATCTCAGAATGGTAGAGCAGGCATCCACACTAGAAGACAAAATGAGGGATCTGTGCAAGTGATATTTATTACAGCCCTGAATTCTTTTTTGGATCTAAAAGCACTGACATGTTGTTATTCTTCTGATAAACACATAAATGTATTGGCTTTCGCAAAGCATAGGTGTGGTTATGTGGATATAACTGTACCAGTTTACAATAACAGAAACAAAGCTCGCTAAAGACACAAGGTTAGACAACAAGTTAAAAAGGGCTAGAACTCTTGAGCAGAATGGAGTCACATAGCAAAAGGATTTGTAAAGGTAAAAGGGGGGGAGCTTGATATAAGAAAAGCTGGTGCCTGAAAAACATAAAGTACTTTTTAGCTTAACTTAGGTTGTAGAAAGAGAACAATGTTTATGTTGTAAATCTGTGGAATGTAGTGGCTGCACTAAACACGAGTTAATTGTTTCACACTAGTCTTCTAAAGCATCTTTAAAGAACAATGTTTTGTAAGTCTGTGGCGAGATAACAGGATTTAGTGGCCCCACTGAACATGAATGAGTTATTTCACACCATCCTTCTACTTATCAATTAGTTTAGAGACAGAGCCTCCCAAACATCTGCTGGCTTGGGATACTCCTTGTCTGCCTATCCTGCAATAAATTTTGCAGGAAGGTCACACTGTTTTAAATATTTGCTAGTTACCAGAAGAATTTAGAGATATAGCTTGTTTCAGCTAGTAGTGAGATTTCTGGGGCATCCAACTGTGCCAAAGGTGAAAAGTACACTGTGAGGAAGACTGCTTACTTCATCTTGAACACTCCTACTCACAAGGGGAAGACTTCTTACTTCATCCTCAAGACCCCTGCCCACAGTCATCAGAAAGCAGTGTGCAGACGCCAAGAGGAAGGGCCTTATAAGTTCCGGGATTTAGTTTTAATATTCCCTGCCTATATGCAGGAATTATGAATATGCATGTAACTAATGTAATAGTGAAAGCACATAAACCTGTAACAAATGCTAATCACTCAAGCCTCTGGCTACGGTCATGCGCCCAGCACTGTTGCTTTTGCTTTATTGACTTTGTTCCTCAATAAAACCTTGTTATCTTGTTTAGAGGAGTGAGTTCATATTTCATATTCTCAATGTGACAAAATGGCTACAGAACTCCAAATAACTGCCTTAGGCAAAGCAGTAGATAATATGCAGAACTTTAAGTGTGTCTGTTCAGTAAACCACGGCTGTGAACAAAACTGAGTAGATTTCTGCACTGTCACATAGAGTGACTTCTAAGAACATTTTTCAGAGTTTCCATATTTACTTAAATTTCCTTCAAACTATGACTGGAGTTTCATATAGTTAGCGGATATGTTACAGACTGCCAATGCTAAATACTGCAGCCACATTAGTAGTACTAGCACCTGAAGACCTGGATCTGGCATTATAGCAAAAAGCAGCAACACTACATGAGAAAGCACAAAAACATGGTAGATATGACACAACTAGCTGAGTCAAGGCCACAGACATCACAGCAGGATGTCCCATAAGCAGTGGTGTTAAAACAGATAATAGCTAGGTGATTTGGGCACTGCAAGGGGTTTTTGCAGAGACCAATAATTTATCAGTCAGAAAAGAAAGCGTCCCAGTACTTATCCAGGCTTTGAGTTGGCCCTAAGCTCTGTATTGGTATTTTTGAGATACTACGTTTCAATCCAGAATGCCCTTCCCCGTGTGTCTAGTAAACTTTCACTCCCAGAACCCTACGTTTCCACAGACTGGTCACATTACAGAGTCTGCTAGCAAAGATGGAGAGTCAATTCCAATTTTACCCAGAAATACTTTCCTTATCACTCCACCTCTACCTTGCACTTACCAAAAGGCATTCCCGCCAGCCTCCAGAGGCAGTGTGCAAAGAGTTGTGCACACCTTGACAGCTCCAGGAAAGAAACACAAATACATAAGCGTAGTGGCTACAGGCAGATGGAGATGACTCGTAGCCTTGTAACTCTCTCACCCTCGAACAAACACCCCTATTCTGACGGACAGCCACCCACTCACCCCCCCCCTCCCACCCCCACCAACCTTGCGGGGCCGACGCCGCGGCGCCGGACAATCCCTTCCGGAATGCGGTCCCAGAATTCGCACCACGCATGCGTGCTGGCGGCCGAGAAGCAAAACGGAACCCACGGCTGCCATTTTCTCGCCCTTCTCAGGGCAGACCGAGACCGCCCTCTGACGTTGCCACTACCGCCGAGGCGGTGTCTCGTCCCCGTCACTCTACCGGCGGCGCGATAGGGTTCCGCCCACCGGCGCTGGCGCAGAGTTGCTAGGGCAGTTGGGCTCTTCTTCCTCCGTGATCGCCGGCATGCCGAAGCTTAGCAAAGAGGCCAAGCAGCGGTTACAGCAGCTCTTTAAGGGCGGGCAGTTCGCCATCCGCTGGGGCTTCATCCCCGTTGTGCTCTATCTCGGTCAGTGCCGGACGGGGCACCGAAGGAGGGGTTTGGGGGGCTGGGAAGGTGGTGGCCATTGGCGAGGCTGAGAGACGGGGGCGCACACACCCCCCACTCCCATCCCGCCAGGGCCGTTACTGCCCGTCCGGTAGTGGGGGGGCGGGAGGGAGGAGAGGAAAGAGAGGACACGTGCGTAGGAAAGGTGAGCCGGTGCGGCCTAGGCTCTGCGGCCTGTCTCCGCGCATGCGCGTTTGGGTGCGGCGGGGGGAGTGCTGAGGCTACGGCGGCTGCTTGGGTGTGGCGAGGTAGGGTGAGAGTTCGCCCTTGGCAGAACGGCGGGGTGGTGAGTTGGGGATTTTTTGTTTTCTTTTTTCCTCGTCTTTAAAAAGGGCTTTTCTGCCTTTTTCCCTTACCGGTGGATGATGCCCAGTAAAGGGAGGACCTCCCTCTGGGGAGCGGGCGGAGCATGCATCGGAGCAGCTTAACAGCGAACGAAGCAGCGATTATACCATGCATTAGAGACGGAGGGCTTCAGCAGGCTTGCCTGCGTGTTTCTTGCAGTAGGGATCCGTGTGTGAGGAGAAACTGTGTGCGTCCGGAGTTCTGCTTCGTAGCGCCTCAGCTTCGTGGCTGAGGTTGAATTTACAGCTAGGTGCAGGTTACAGTCTTTCCCTAAATGGTGTGGGTGCTGTTCATGAACTGCTGTGGTTGCCCTGATGTCATGGCTGGTGCCCAGGATGTGTTTCACTTGCTCCTGTCATGGGGCTGGCTAGGCATCACTACCACATGGTAACTGACCTGCCGAGTTTGGGCTGTGTGCCATCAGCTGTCCTCATTAAAGAACCTGACCCACCTAAAATACGAATGTGTGCAACAGGCCTGGCACTTCTGTTCACTTCTTTTATGACAAGGAGTCCCAGGAAGACTGATTCCTGACGTTAATCTGTTTTTACCATTGGGCTTTTGGAAAAAACACCTTAGGCAGGTGTGCTCTGCCTTGAATGCAAACATTAAGGAGGGTTGGGAGCTTGGTATGTTAACAGTCCAAACTGATAGGTTGTTTTAATTGAAGGGAATACAGGCCTTCAGATTTGCAGGGCTTTGATTTTTCATGTAGTAGATAACAATTAGGAAAAAGTTGGTCTCTTTATGTTGCATTCATGCTTTAACAAGTACAAGAGGTCACTTCAGACACACACACACAAAAAACCCCAACCCTGAATTGGCAGTATTAAGTTTAAACTTAAGTTGCATTTTCATTTTTAGTTTATCAGTTGTTTTAAATCGGTATCTTTTGGGCGGGAATTTCAGCAGTGTTTTGTGACCCTAGTTTCGTGCTTGCTGAGTTTTTGTTTTTAATTTTATGACAGTATCTGTGAATATCGTAAAGACGTTCTTTGTTCTGTGGGACACCAGAGGAAATGAAATAAGTTAACTTCAAGTTATAATTGTATTTATGGTTGTACTAGTGTCAGTGTGCCTAGTATAGTTATGTTGCAGTGAGTAGCTAAGTTGTAGTAGTTTAACCTCATGCCTCCAGAAAATAAGTGTGCTATTCCACATCTATATTGCCTTGTGAATTTGTCTGCTCTTAAGTGTAAGCAGACGGGAGGGGGGTGTGCAGGTGCCACCTTTACTTGACTTTCTTTGGAGGTGGCATGCACTTGAATTCTGGTAGAATTGGAAGAACCTCTTGTTCGAGTCCGAGAGGGAACATGTGATGCATCACAAGTGCAAGAGGCTACACAGCTCTTGATGTCACTAGTTGGAAGTAAATTTGTGAATTAACCCTTGTGTATATGAAATAGACAGTAAACTAAACATAGGCAAGGAAACTTTCAGAATTAGCTTCAAACATTTTCTGAAAGGTTTTCTGGGTCTCCAGGTCAGGATGGCATGCTCAACGGGTGTAAGAGGGAGCTTGGTGTGTGGAAGTGCAATTATAAGTAACTGGTCTGCGTTTTTTTTACACTTGCTTTGAAGTGTCTGCCCTTGTTGTGTAGGTAAATTATACCAGTGAGGCTTTGTTAAATCTGCTTTTTTATTTTAAAGTACTGGGAAGAGAGGAAGCCAGACGCATTCACACACATGGAGTGCAACTCCTAATACAGTTTGATGAATTTTAAAGTTATTTTGCTGAACAGCATGGTAACCAAAGAAAGAGGATCAGTATGTTTAATAGTCTCAAATCACATAAGGTTATCTTCAAAGAGCTAACCCAGTGCCCATGAAGTTGATGGAAGTTTTTCCATGGCCTATGTTTCAGGCAAGCCAACATTATTCATTTTCTGTAAACAAGGGAAATAATATGTTTTTCATATAACATCCATTTCTAGGTAGCAAGTGTAGGAGACTGCATGTTGAACAGTGCATGAAATGTATTATTCTGCTTCAAGACATAAATTGCAGACCAGTGGGCAAAGGTCTTTCATACAGTGAACCTTCAGCTGCTTCTCTAGTTTGTTTTGATCAATTGGTATTTGAGTTATTATCTGGGCATGAACTCTTCATAATTAACTTTTCATTTTCCTGGGCGTGAGTATATTCACAAACATCTTCTTTGCAGGCTTTAGAACTAGTTAGGTTTTCAGAAAGTGCCAGTAAAAGTAGAATAGTTTAGGGTTTGATTCAGCATTTAGAATTCTGTCATTCCACATTGAGTGAACTGTTACTGAAATATTACTTGTAAGTTCTGTATCAGGTGTTACTGAAGAACATTGCCTGTTAGGACTCAACTCGTACCACTTACAGGTGCCAGTAGTGGTACTAGGTTGCTTTCTGAACAACATTTAAAATCTGTGTTTGTGTGTATCTCTTGATAACTTCCTCTGTCCCACATAGCTAGTTGACCCTGAATTTTAAATCAGATAAAGATGCAGGTAAGAATTAAAGGAAAACTATAAAACTTTACACACATACTTATTTTCTCTGTTTTCTAACCCTAATTAGAACGTGCAATTTTTATTCATGTTTGTGCACAACTTCATAAATTGCAGTTCTCAGTGGGTTTTCTTTTTTATTGCAGCTTAATGGGCTGGAATAATTTGATAGTGATTTAAGTACGTTGGCATCTGCACATACATATTTTTACATATATGTATGTAATGTATGTTTCACTTCAGGTTTTAAGAGAGGTGCAGATCCTGGAATGCCTGAGCCCACCATCTGGAGGTATGTATCTGTTCCAAATGTACATGCAAATCCAGTGCAGGTAGTCACTGTTCGAATATTATCTCTGGACAGCAACAGTTGGGAAGGTTGCTTTCACCCATTTTGTTGGATTTTTTTATTATTTAGGGTGAAAGCATAGCTGCTTGAGGCTCTTTGTTTCTTTAGAAATTCAAATGAGAAGGCAAGCAAACACAGGTTCTTGGGAGGGCCTTTCTCTTACTCTTCCATGGCTTTTAATATATGGGACTTTCTGTACCTTTTCAGTGGAAGCTGCCCCTCTAATCTGTTGTAGGGATAGTTTATGCAAGTTCCTGCACTTCTCAGCTCCCTATCATGAATTTAAACCAAAACCCAGTCTTCCTTTGTCTTTGAAGATATGGTAGCAACACTGTGTAAAGGCTGCATGAAATAAATGGCTCTGTCCTTCAGTATTAGTCATTGTCCTGAAGCAAGTGCATTTGCTCATGTTGCCTCTTCTGTAGGGGTGTTTATTAATGCTGCAATATCATAGCATTAGTAATACTTGAATTCTTGTGGTATGCGAGTTTTATTTGAGGGCTCCCTTGTGTCAAAATAATTAAAGCTCTGAAGAAGGGATGACGCTTCTGTTTTTCTTGAAATAAATTCGGTTAATATAAAGAACCAGGTATTACTGGGACAGAGAATTGATAAACTGTATGGTTTGCAAAGTCACGTATTAACTCTTCTAGCATTCACAGAGTTACAATGTGTAGAAATCCCGTTTTTAAGATGCAGTGATTCAAGGGAGCGACTTCTAACAGTAGAAAATATGGAAAAAAGTGTCAAGATTATGTTAGAATTTCAGTAAACTCTGTTGTCTCAAGAACTGACTTGTTGGAGTTGTTTGTTGTTTGGACAGTGTTTCCATGTTTAGCTTCACTAGCAGTTTGAGACCTGCTTGACTGTGTCTCTGCAGAGTACACTTACACGCAGTTCTTACACGCAGTTCTTACACGCAGTTCTTACACGCAGTTCTTACACGCAATTCTTACACGCAATTCTTACACGCAATTCTTACCAGAATGTTATGTACATAGATACCAGAAGCATGTGTTTGCTCTAATACAAAGCTTACAAATGCTTATTTCTCTGAGCACATGTTCATGCTCCATAGGCTTAAATTTTATTTTAAAGGTGGCATTATTTCAGTGTTTTGGGGCTAGCGTTTATTCTATACATTTATAGGGCTGTTCCTACAGATTTTTGTTTTCCAAATATCCATTTAAAAGGAAGTACATGCTGCAAATCTGACTTCCGTTTCCTCCCTCTCCTCTTCCAGTCTACTCTGGGGATGAAGGAAGTGATGGTCCTGTTCTAGAACCAGCTGATGGACAGAGAAAGTGTCTGAAGATGCGCGTTCCAGAGGATGGGGCGGACACTTACACTGGCTGGCTCAATCAGCTTTCTAATGCCATAGGTTGTACATACAACAGAATGTAGTTTATATGGACCTAACTTATTTGCATAACAGTGTAATTAAATAAATACAATTCGAATGGGTATGCATTGTTTTTAAGTCTTTACATAAGTTTAATGTAGTAATACCTCTGCTACAGAAAGGATAACCCATTCCAATACATGGTGACATTCAACCCCCATATTTATCTCAGTGACAGTGGTCTTTTGGGTGGATTCCTCTTTATCTTCAGAGTAACCAGAAAAGTGAACTCATGTTTTAAATACTTCAGTAATCTTCAAAGATTTCTTTCCCAAATGTTGATAAGCCTCTGCAGCTGGTCATTGTGGTTTTGTGGTTGGTTATGTTTTGGGCTTTTTTCCCCTTCCTCTTGGAATTGTTCATCTCTGGAGACATTAACTGTTGAGAGATGTATATGTTTTTTCCTTGCTTAGTAAGAAAGTGAAAACTATACTTTTCTGCCAGATTTACTTTTAAACATTATGTACATTTTCCGTAATTTGGAATAGAATGGGAGGACACAGTAAAAGTACCCTTTGTGTGTATATGTATATAGTGCTTTTATTGTAAGAGGACATTATAATGGAAGGAAGAAAACAAGGTATCTGCTTTAGTTTTACTCCAAAGTCTTGCTCTTTGGAATATTGTTGGTTTGGCTTCAGTTGGTTTTCCCCTTTTATATTTCAAAAAAAGGTGGGAAACATTAAGGAGAGTTAATGCAAACCATTAAATTAAAATTCCATTAATCACAGTAATTAAATGTTATGGCATAGTGGAATAGTTAAAGATAATAGGTCACTGACAGGGGAACAGAGCAAGGACTGAACACAGAGCATTTTTCATGTTACTCTGTATCCTGTTGCTAGTGCTGCTTTTCTAGTGCCTTTTTACTAATGGTGACTTGAGATTAATATAACTGCTCATATGTCTTAAATCATGAAAGGAGTTCAAATTTTGATCTTTTTCTTGACTGATTCTAATTACAATAGTAATGAAATAATTGCTTGTTACTTGATAGTGGCTTTGATGGTGATCAGAAATATTTTCCTTCTCGAATCTAGTGGAATAACCTGAGATATCAGTATTAAGAGATGGGGTATTGAGTGTAAAGCAACTTGGGTTTCTCAAAATCTGATTTTGTGTTTCACAGGGTTTACAATATCCAAAGTGCAGCTGTGGGTGGATGGACTCACACACCTGCAGGAGTGTATTTCCTGTGCTCAGACATTTGAGGATATGGTTTGTGTGTCTTAACTGCCACGTGGGTGCTCGGCTACTCTCCAGGAATAATAGTATTTGGCAAGATGCAGAGAAACAGGGAAGTGTTTTTTATCTCTTTTGTGAAGTTTTACATAAGAATAGATAGACCAGGGACAGGCCAGATTCCATGACTTCAGCATGCTGAAAATTTCTCTTAAAAGTAGGTGTAATTCAGGTTTTTTTTGAGACTTGGAATTTTTGGATAAATATTGCTTATGCAATTCTTTTAGAATTTCACTTTATACGCATTGGATAGCAAATTTTTGATAATTCACCGCTGTTGTGGAAGTATGGGAAATTCTTGTTCTCTTAAAAAAAAGATCAAGTATAGTTCAGGAAAGTTGTTGACATAGAACTTAGGGGTTTCAAATTGAGGGAAAAAGTCTTTCATGGTACATGTAAGTTAAATGGAATGCCCATATGTAGTATAACAACACCAGACACTTTAAGTATACCGCACTCTCTGTAACTAAAAGGTGAGTGAAACTCCTTAAATAAGCACTTCTTTTCTTCCTCCTGAAAGAAACCCCAGCAGAATAAGCATTATTCATAGGTCTTGGTAATTAATTGGAAGGTAGCAAAAAAACAGAATGGGAGAAATAATTACTTTTCAAGTTTAAAAATTAAAGCATCTTTAGTAGCAATACCTTGAAATTACTTTGCAGTTAATTTTTTTGTACAAAATTAGGTATTGCTTATTAAGAGTAGGTCAGTCTTTTGTGAAGTTGTATGTTAGTTTCCTGTGAAGAATCTTAGTTCCTTAAAATAACTTCAGCAAATATGCTAATTTTATCAAGCTATTTAGCTTGTTTTGGTGGTGATGCTGGGGAGACGAGGACAGGTCTACGGGAGTAAAGTGGAGGGATGCTTAAGCTGTGAGCTAGGGACTTGACTGTATTGATCTGTCAAGTGAATTGTTGGCTTCCGCAGCCAAGTATGGATGCTTCCCTGTAGTGGACTTTGTGATGCAGTTGTACAGGAACAGGTATGAACTCAGTGCTGGAATAAAGTCAATGAGTGTAGTTTGTTGAAAACTGAGCTGTGACTTCCACAAATGAGGTCAAGGCTACTGAACTGTGTGAAATAGTCACCGATGCCTTCCTGTGTGCTGTGAAGATAGTACGAGCTTTGAGGTATCCAGCTGATTTTACATGGAGATATGAATTGTTTGTGCCTCAAAGCAGAGGTGGAGTGTCCTTGTGGTTGCCTTAGTGTGGGGAAATACCCCAGTGAGAGGCTATGCTGGACCCTGTTGTACCTGGTGACAAACACACAAGGGGCTGAGAGGAATGTTTCCACCTGGACCAGTCTTAAGAAAATCAAGGGTTGCAGTGGTTAAATGAAGGTCAAAAATAAAGGCATCTTAAATTAAGGCATCTTGAGGATTTTAATGCAAGAGGAATGCCCTGTTCTCCATCTTGAATGACCTGCAATCCCATGCCCATGGTGCTTTCACATCAGAAAGACAACATTCATCCTTGTGAGAAGGTGCTGGTCTGCCTTTTGACCTCCTCCTGCGAGAGTGACAATGGCAGCAGTGACTGTTGTTTGGCCTCTGAAGAGGGTGTCTGTGAACAAGAGATTGTCCTTAACCCAGGACTCAATAAACAGGCTGTTCTCCTCCTCTAGCCATACTGTGTGTGGAATGCTACCAAAGTGTCAGAAGGTCATAATGGGCAAGGAGCAATTCAGTATCCTGTCTGTCCTGGTTTCAGCTGTAAGAGTTATTTTGCTTCCTAGGATCTGGTGCAGTGCTGTGTTTTGGCTTTAGTCTGAGAACAGTGCTGGTAACCCACTGATGCTTTAGTTGTTGCTAAGTAGCACTTAACCTTGATCAAGGATTTTTCAGTCTCATGCTCTGCCAGTGAGGAGGGGCACAAGAAGCTGGGAGGAAGCAGATACAGGACATCTGACCCAAACTAGCCAAAGGGGTATTCCATACCACACAACATCATGCCAGTATATAAACTGCAGGAGTCACTCAGAAGGCGGAATCCATGTTCTGTTGGGCTAAGTATGGTTTGGTGGGTGGAGAGAAATTGTATTTTGCATCACTTGGGTTTTCTGAGCTTTCATTTCTTCTCATTGTTTTCTGTTATTGTTGGTATTCTTTCTATTATCACTATATTTTAGTTATTAAACCGTTCGTATGTAAACCTGTGGGCTTTACATTCTTCTAGTTCTCTTCCCCATCCTTCCCTGGCCGGTGGAAAAAAAGGGGAGTGAGCAAGTGTCTGTGTGGTGCTGAGTTACCAGCAGGATCTAAATCACAACACTGTCTTCTGAATCTCTTGTTCACTGGCACACTGATCACAACAGCTGATGGTGGTTTTATCATTCAGGAGCAATTTCCATATATTCTATTATTTCTAGATTTTTTTTAAAGAATGCTTCTCCCATCATTGTATTCAGCTGAAGTCAGAAGATCAGTTATTACCTGGTACCATTGGGTAATGGAAGGCAACATGGTGGGCAGCACCTCTTCAGCCCACAGTTGTGACAAGCCCTTTAGCAAAGCATCTCTTACAAGCTTGGCTCTGAGGAGATGCCCTTGGGTGTGGGCAAAGATGTTGGGCTAAGAGACAGGGAGGCAGGAAGGTAGGGAGAAAAGTTAGAGTTCCAAAAAGAGAATAAAGACAAGGAGGTTGGTCAGAAGAAGAATAAAGAGTAGGATATACTGACAAGGTTTTTAAAGGTGACATGAAGTAAGAAGCAAGAAAAAGGTGTGCTTATCAGAGAAGCCACAGAGCCCTGTGGTATTTGGTGTGTGATACTGAGGGACTCATGTTGGTGGAGTTTGGTGGTTATCTTGGTCTTGATATGAGGACTGGGGATCTGGTAGTAGGGGGTGAATTATTCCATTTTGTGTCAGCGTTAAAGAAGGGAGGGGAAAAAAAAAAAAAAAAAAGAAGTTACCTGGCTTTCAGTATAAGTTTGTACTTTGTAAGATGATCTACAAAGGAACGTGCTTGTTTGCTCCGAAAACTTTTCAAGGGCTGACTGTGAGGTAAAAATGAAGCTCATAAGGAATTTGGAGCAAGTATTTAATTCTGCGCCAAATTCCTGGTTTGGACATGGCTGGTATAAAGTCGCTGTACTGCATCTCATCACAGTTATAAAACAGAAGATACGTGTTTTTATTTCTTGAATTCAGCAGCAAAACTCACATGACCTTAAACCTGTAGCTTTCAGGTATGTGATCTCTGCACACTAAAGCAATGTTCATAACTTGGTCACAACAAGCCCCGGTGCTGGCAATGTATAAAATCCTTCGCTTCTCGGTGTAGTCATCTTCTGAATGTGTAATTACAAAGTGCTTCTAAAAATGTGTTTCCATTGCATTGTGTTGTAAATGAAATGGATCTAACACATTGGTTTTTATCTGGAAAAATTGTTTGAAAGAGCTATATACCCTGGATATTCGTTGCAGACTTGGAATTTAAGCTATGATGATATATTTGGAAATAAAAGCTCATTACATCTGTTCCTGCCACAGGAGCAGAGACCACATCCTGGTTAAATGTCATATGACTAATTTAATTTTTACAAGTGACTATCTAATTGTAATAATTTCTAAATATTTTTCTGTGATGGTGTGCAATGCATTAGTTGTTTCTTGGTTAAACTTGTGGGGTGCATGCATTGTTTCTTGGTTATGCTTAGGTTAATTCAGGATTTAGGGGTGGTTAAGACCAGGGGAATGCTTACTGCTGAGTGGAAATAGGTATATACGCTTTGATTATTTCCTCTGATGAAGAAATCAATTCCAAATTTCTATCAAAAATAAGAAGTTTGAGCAACTGCAAAGCAGGGAGTAGTTATTAGCCTGGTGAGTATAGCCCGGATTTCCAGTTATGTTCCGATTCTGTTTCTCAGGGTTCACTTTATTGTTGTAGAGATCCCCCCAAACAGTGTAGTTTGTTCACTGCAACCTGAAAGCAGTCCTTTTCCAGCTGGGCTGGAAGGTTAGCTGTACATCTGCTTTCATCCCTGATGGTCTCTCTTTTATCAAATTCCATTCACTTTTATAGTCCTATCCCAGGCCACTGAGCTATAAGTTTAAGAGGGGTATATCTTTGACATCTTTGAACTTGATTCTGTTTGTTAATGCACGCTAATGTGGGACCCGTGGGCATAGTCAATCTATGGGACCTTTGTATCTGTTCCCAAATTGTTAGACATGTAAGAGGACTATTGCTGTGCAGTGGTGGTGGTGTAGCAGCTAATTTTTCTCTTGAGCTGAAGATGGGACTTCGAGCTTTCCATAGGTGATTTTACTTCTGTGTGTGTGGCAGCTCTAAGTGATTCTCTTGGGTAATAAACCTGTTAATATAATTTCCTTATACATCATATTGTTCTTATAATATAGAAAGTTAAGAATGTAGTACTGTATCAATACTGAAGTTAAAAGGAATAAAGAAGAAACTAATCATAAATACATTTGTGTTATCAAAACCAGTCAGAATTCTGCCCCCAGAATGGTTGAAATTCAATAAAATCTTGAAAATAATGTTAGATAAGCACTGTCTGGTGGCAGTAGATATGGCAGAGCAAAAGAAATCTCTGTCGTTAATCTGAATATTAATGTTTAATTTTTTTTAAATATATTTTTCTCATGAAAGATTCAATCTTAGATTCTGAGCACTGGATAAAAATTCAGACTGCAAAATTTCTGTAGGTTTTTTTTTTTTGACTGCCAAAGTCAGTCTTGAAAGTATACTAGTCACAGAATCACAGAATCCCAAGGGTTGGAAGGGACCTCAAGAGATCATCTGGTCCAACCTCCCTGCAAGAGCAGGGTAACCTAGAGTACATCACACAGGAACTTGTCCAGGTGGGCCTTGAATATCTCCAATGTGGGAGACTCCACAACCCCCCTGGGCAGCCTGTTCCAGTGCTCTGTCACTCTCACAGTAAAGAAGTTCTTCCTGATGTTAACGTGGAACCTTCTGTGCTCCAGTTTACACCCATTGCCCCTTGTCCTATCACTGGATATCACTGAAAAAAGCCTAGCTCCACCCTCCTGACTCCCACCCGTTACGTATTTGTAAACACTGATGAGGTCACCCCTCAGCCTCCTCCAAGCTGAAGAGACCCAGCTAATGTTGATTAAATAAGTTTAGATGACAGAAATCAGTTGATTTTGGTAAGAGTTCAGGGAGGAAATGGTATTTCAGTGTTGGTGCCTAAAGAAGCTGCATTTTCTGGAGGTGAGGGGATATGTTTTGTTTCTTCTCTTGTCAAGAAGAAGAAAAAAATCCACAAAGAGAGATCAGAATTTGTTGTCTAATCATTTGACTAGAGAAGCAAGGATTTACAGAAAGCTTCCTACCCAGTATCACATGGTTTGTAGTAATATGCATAGATCTGGTAGCACTTCTTGACCATTAAGATCTGACTTTGATGTGCAGTACTGAATATGTACCTTTCTACCATTTTATCTTTTAAACTGAATATAGAAAAGTTTATTACTTGCAAATAACAGTGGCAGGCTTAGCTGAATGGGAACCTTCCCCCTAAGCCAACCTAATGGCTCATTACCAATGAAAAAGTGATCCTGCTCCCCTTGCTTCACTGGTGGTGTAACTCTTCCATCTCTTGTAGCATCATCTCTGACTTGCTAACCTGGCTTGCCGTCAGCTGCTGGTAAAATCTGTGAAGGTGCTGGAGATGCAGACAGTCTCTTTCAAGTAGCTGTTCTTTGACAGAACTTACCAGTGTCTACATCAGTACAGTATGGTTAATAAATCAGAAAATGATATTTCACACACTGTCATTGTGAAACAGAAGTAATTTTGTGTTACAGATGAGTATTAGGTTGCATTGTCTTCCTTATGTAGCATTTTAGTGTCTTTCCCACAGTACTGAAGAATTTTTGTTTCTCGTCTTTATCACTGTCTCTAAACACCCTGGGCTTTTTCTTGCATACTGTAGAGTGTATGCATGCTTTTTAACATAGCTTTACCCTCTTCCTGCATTGGGAAAGCAAATTCAGGGTGAAGGGAGTTAGTAAGCTGTTGAGCATTCCAAAACCTCTTTGTGAAGTTAATGAGTAGGGATACAATGGGAATGTGGGGAAGGGCTAGATGGGATCTGCAGGGAAAGGGGAAGAGGCTAGTTGTGTACAGCAGCAGCCAAAATGCTGCTTTGCTGGGTAGTTTCCTAGGGATTTTTTGGCAATTACTAGCAGGGCTTTTTGGATTTGGTTTTGGTGGTGGTGGGTTTTTTTTTTTTTGTTGCTCTCCAGTAGGAGCAATGAGGTATTTCATTGTTGCTAAAAGTACTACAGTTGTTTTTGAGGATTCATTTATAAGAGTTATGAATGCTCATTTTTACTGTTGTTGGGTGTGTTTTGTGTTTGTGCTAGTCTGACAAGTAAAATGAATGTCCATGTGTGTTTACTGATCGTTGTAAAATACTTTCTACACAGCAAACTGGAAAAAAGACAGTAAGTTCGTTAGTTTGAGATGTGCCATAACATCCTCAGCAGTGTTTAGTTCTCCTCTGACTGCAGTGTGGGTCATGTGCCACAAGCACCACTGAGTGTACATTTCAGCAAGTGCTGCTTTCCTTTTGGTCATTCCCTAAAGTTGGCACAGTGAAATAATGGCCAGCAAGGCAGCTGCTGCATTGAAGTACCCTGAGAATTGCAGGTGGCTGTGGAGGAGCTACAGGTAAAGTATGGCAGCATCAGTGATACCCTTCACTCCAGGCAGGACTTTAAATTTTACATCCCCACCCAGCAAGTGGTTCATTTTTACTCATCTTGTACATTGTGAATGCTTTACCCCTGGCAGTGTTCAAGGCCAGGTTGAATGGAGTCTTGGGTGACATGGTTTCGTGTGTGGTGTCCCTGCCCATGTGAGGGGGGTTAGAACTAGATGATCTTAAGGTCCTTCCAACCCTAACTATTCTATGGTTCTGTGATTCTGTGTCTTTGCTAGAATTGTGGACAACCTGGGGTGGCCACCAGCTGAAGGGTGCTGGTGGGATGTGCGGGCACTTGTCCATCAGTTGTAGGCGATTTCAGTACCCCATATCTTAGATGCTTGCTGGCAGTCGAGGAAATCAGTGCAAGTTTGTTTCGCTGTACATAGTGACTAATGGTGATCTCAGGCAGCCACCTACTACCGGGAGAGGTGAGACCATGAGATGCCTTTCCTTTTGGTCGGTCCATCTTCCCCTCCCCCCCCCCCCATTCTTCTTACATAGTAAGAAAGTCTCTAAAAGGTCCACATGTGGGATCCACATTCAGGTCTCTTACCTATTACAAATAGAGTAAGGACCAGAATGGTCTCTAACCTAATGATCACTAAGAAAATCTCTGTGAAGATAAGCTGTGAAAAAGCCAAACTAGGCTTTCCTGTGTCTTCTAGAGCATATGCCAGGGCAGCTAAAGCAGGATCTTGTGTGGTGAGAAAATACCATTCACCATGGACATCCTCAAAGTGACCACCTTGAGGTCTCCTTATTCCTTTTTGAGATGTTGCATAACTGAAGGCATAGGTTTTACCATATTGGGCAAAGCTGTGGTTTGTTTTGAGCCTCTGAGGTGTGGGCTCTGGGTGGACTGGTCACTGTTTTGGCATCCCCAGCAGTGGAATACATGTGTGGACAATCAGAGGAAGAGGAAAATTTACTGACGTCCTTATCCACATTCCAGGGCTTGCCTTTCATCTTCTCATCTGCACTGCTGTGCTGCAAGAAAGAGGATAATTAATGTTCTGCCACCTGTAGGGACAAAGCTGGAGGGGTTCCTGCTGCTTGAATCCCTTGTGAGTGCTGTGAATTCCCCTCAGTTTGAGGATACAGATACCTGCATAGCCACAGTGAAGCCGATGATACACATAAGAAGTGTTTCAGCAGTTTGGTACTCAGGCAAAGGACCTGGTTTGTTGGGTTTTTTTCCCCTCTACAGTATTGAAGAGTATGCATACATGTTACGTGTATGCCTTTCTGTGCTAGTGGAATATAAATGACAAAAGACAAACGCATTAGATTGTTGATGGTGATTGACAGCAGCAGCACATTGAGTTATATCATCTAAGGAAAGAACCAAAGATTTTTGTTTTTCTGCTTCTTTGGGGAGGGGAAAGAAATGTTTAGTCAAATTTGGAAAATTCCCTTGGATGATGACAATAAATCTAGTCAGGTCACAGTGTTCGTGTCAAAGCTGTTAGTTTGGTATCTTAGCATTTTATTTGTTTAAAAGAGATTGCTTGACATGTAAGCAGATGCTTACAGTTAGTATTTTATGGAGTGTTCCTTATTAAATATAGGGGACTCATTGTTCATTTGTTTCTTGAGAGCAATGGTGCTTTACTGTGTTTTTTCTTAAGTGCTATGTTCAGTGTGTCTGGTTCCTTTATATCCCAGTTTGAGAACTATATGTTGATTAAGCTGTCTATGTGTGTATGTGCTATGTAGATAATTGAACTAATTATATAGATAAAATTATTGAAAGTGGTTATTTTGGTAATTGCAGGATTAAAAAATGGATATGTTACAGTTCCATAGTATTATTTAAAGTTCAAACAGATTATATGGTTTGTTTTCACAAATTGGTTTTTATTTATTAAAAATATAAATAAGTCATAAATACCATCTCAAATATTTAAAAAGTATAAGTTATAAACCAATTTTTCTGGCTTCTGAAAATATTTTTTGTTGAATACATATTAAATAAGTTGATATTCTGAATAGTACCATTAGCAGTGAAATAAAATACAGCCTTTGTTTAAATTATTACTAAGTATTGAAAATATAAATAGAAAACGTTACAAAGTAATAAATATTTAAAATACAATAAATAGGTTCCTAGAAGGAAATGAGAACCTATCTAAATTCAAACCATTGTTACTGTTTCTAGTTCCTAAAACAGAACAACACTGTCATCTGCCACATGACAGATTTGTAACAAAGGATTGTGCTTGAATTAAAACATTCAGACACTGAAACTCCTGGTGTTTTTCAAATAACGAACAGCCCTCACTGTTTTCTCCATAAATGAAGTAAAGTCTCGGAGGATGAGGTGGGTGGTGATTTTCTCTATCCAGGTCTTATCAGACTTCAGCTTTGCCTGGAGGGATTCCTGGCTAGCTGAGTCCGGGATGATAATTTCATCAGGATTGATCACCTGTGAAAATGACAATATTGGGGTGTTCTGGTTAAATCATTGTAATTAAACTTGTTGGGGATCACCAGTTTAGGTGTGTGATGTTCCCAACCAGCTACAAATCCACCCTTTCTGTACTGTGGATAACAGACTTCTCTGGGACTTGTCTTGTGGTTTGAGGTATGTTGATGCGTGCTATGGTTATTGTGGAACAATCAACGTGTCTTGTCTGATCTATACTGTTTGTCCTGGTTTGAATGCAACATCTGGCATTGCAGTTGAACATGCTGCACTGAACAGATCCATACACTTTTCCTGCTATCTGCCAACCATGTGGTTAGTTGGGAAGATGCGGACTGTGATTTGTCCTAAGCTGTTTTGGCTGCTCCATCCTGAGTCATAAGTTAACTGGATGACATTGGAGTACTCTCCTGTTTTGTAGTAGATTAACAGTTTCCAAAGATGTCAGACTTGTTTAGCTGCCTAATTTTTACTTTCCAGGCATTTAGGCACGTGGGCGTCTTGATGTCACCAACTTTCACTCCTGTGTGGGATCCTGACTGCAAGATGAATAAAAGGACTGACAGCACTGGGCACCTGGTACCCAGATGTCTTTTAAGAACTTGTCCCATGAACTGGGTAGGTAACTTCTGAAAATGGGAGTTACTCACCCAAATTATGGAACTGGTTTAGATGATTATGGTCTAGAAATCTAAAATATCAGCTTCATCCTGGTTTTAGAATCTCTCCTACCCATTAAGAAGTGACAAAAGTATGCACACCTCCTTCTGGAACATCTTTTTTGTGAAATTCAGTAAGGTACTGTTTTCTGTCCAGACTACTTGGAAGTGCTGTATCCAACTCCTTGTAGTGTGCTCTGAAAATTTTTTGTATGTGGATATACATTCAGCTAGCATGCCGGTGGATCAACCTAAGTACAGATGACAGATTGTGTCCTTGCTCTCCTTGCCTTAAACAGCAGATAGGCTGCTTTTGTAAAGAAAGGATTTGAAACCTGGAGATCAAGACACTTCTTTCTCAAAAACCTACTTTCTCAGGTAGAGGTTTTGCTTTTGATTAGTGTGTTTCATTCTGCCTGTTACGGTTGCCTCAATCCTTCTAATTTTCCACAGAAAGCTGTTCTCCCCCAGTTATGAAACAAACTTTCTGCAGACTATCATACCAAGTTGGAAGCCAGCAGTCAGTTGCTGTCTTTGTGACAGGACTATTATTCTTAGCTAGCACAGTGTGAAAAAAGCAGTTCAGCTCCCTTTCGCTTAAAGAATGATGGACATAAGTAAATGTTAGGCAAGGTATGGCAAACACACAAAGGGCTTTTCAGGTGCTCAAAAACACCTTGAAGGAAATCATGCCCTGAGATTTCTGCAGATCTTACTCACCTGAATGGTTCTTACTCAGGCAAATAGTTTCCTTGATTACAAAAGGAAGTATTCATGTTAAGGGTTATTAATGTGAGTAAGAACTGCAGGAATTAAGTGAATTTTTGGAGCATGAACTTTCCAAGCTCTCCAAAACGATTGTCAGAGATGGATAGCATTTATTTTACTGAATAGAAAGAGAATTTGGCATTTGTAAAGAAGGAAGATTTTTATTAGTGTTAGGTTTACAATCAAAATATGTGCTTTTCAATAGGCAGCACCTTTTGTTTAGTCAAGTCACTAATATTCTGAATTTAACTGTCTTCCTTCATTTGTAAGCTAGATGGTATATGGAGATACCAGTATCTTGGCTTAAAAGTTTGTTCTGGAGCATATTAAAGGTAAATAATATGTATTTGCTTCTATTTATGTGGGTTCTTAAAAGAAAAAAAAAGGCTTTTTTTTTTTTTTTTTTTTACTTCTCAGGGGGTTGCAACATTAGAAAACTTGGACTGAGCTGCACTTCCAATTAGGAACAAGCTCCTTGTGAAATCTCATTTCTGTCAGCCAGGAGGTGTTAGTGTATTCATTCTTGAAACAACTATGCATTTAATTGTTAAACTTGGAAATTAGAAACAGCAATAAAAAGTAGGAAGAAGAGGTGTTTCCTTAAGAAAAGGAAACCAAACCTTGTGAAACTGGTAAGTTAGTCATAAGGGTAAGTGAGCAGAAGGAACCATCATGTCTATCCAGGGAGAGAAGTGAAAGTGGGAATGTTCAGCTTCACATAGCATCCTCATTCTCTGACTACAAATTGGTGCCAAGGCATAGCAATTACTGGAGAGAATATAAAACCAACTCACCATCTGTTTTACAGTATGTGCCAGGTGCTCTGTAGTATAGCACAGTGATTCTATGTTCTGCTTTTCACTAGTAAAAGTTTCTTTTATGAATTGAAGATACGTCTGAAATGTATAAAGCCCACTGGAGATTTTCCTTAGGCATTTATCCTGAAGTGAGAGAAAAGTAAGACGGTCACTTACAGGTCAGGAATGCTTTGATAGTGGCATTGTATGTGCAGCACAGGTAATTGGATGATGCTGATACAGTGGAAGTCTGTGCCATGGGCAAAGCCAGCTGGAGCTGACACAAATCTTTAGGTCAACTTCCACAAGTTTTTTGAAGCAGACAAAAATTACCCAAGGTATAGAAGATTAGACCAGAAAGGAGAGCAGTGGTTCCTTGCCTCATTGAAGCCAGTGAGCAGACACCCGTCCTCCTCTGTCACCTTGGGGAGGTTAAGATTGTTCTGGATGAGCATTTCCATGCTATTCTCGCAGACGGTAAACTTCTCGCACATCTAGGGAGAGACATCGAGAGGTTTCATTGCACCTTGGCCGGTGGCAGCAACCTCCGCGTCTGGTGTGTGTGTCGCCCGTACCCACCTCTTCCTGCAGCTGTGCTGCCCGGGCGTGCAGCAGCCGCGCCAGCCGCTCGCAGTCGGGCAGCGCCGCCCGCAGCCCCGCTGCCTCCTCCAGCTCGGCCTCGCCAGAGGAGTCGGCTGCGGGCAGCGGCGCTGCGGCTGCCCACGGCAGCAATAGGAGCAGTAGCAGCGGCAGGACGGCGCGGAGGGAGGGCTGGCGGTGGCGGGAGGCGCGGTTACGATCATGGTCACAGGCACAGCCCTGGGGAAACCTCATGGTGCGGCTCCTAGGCTCTGGCACCGGCCCTTTCTCGTCAGCGGGGCTGGCGGGTTGAATGAGCTCCGGACATCCCTGAACGTGTATTTATTGAGGGGGCTTCGAGATTATTCATGGACAAGGGAAAATCCGGCATGAGAACACGGGGGTGTGTGCGCGGCGAAACACTGCTTTGGACAGTGCGGCGATTGTGAAACTACATGAAGTCATCGTGCTCCTGCACCGTAATTCATTGAGGACCGGGCTATCTCCCATCCCTGCCGCCGGCAACGGCTTACCTGGCCCCACCGGGCTGGGGCTGGGATCAGGTCCAGCTGTCGGCAACCTTCGAGCCTGCCAGCTCCAGGTGCACAGAACGTCTCTGAAATTACATGCACCTGCTACCTGTGTACACACAAACTTACATTATATATATATATGTGTGTGTGTGTGTACATACACTTAATGTGTGTACATATACCTATGTGTGTACATGTGTGTATGTATGTATATTTTTCCATATATTTTAAAGTGGTTTAGTGTTCTATATTATGCGTATTTATATTCTGGCTATTTTCATTAGTTGTGACCTCCAGCTGTCCCTGGAGGTCCCTTCCTAGCCTAACAAGTTTGTGATTTTGTGATATATCTGAAACTAAATGCTGTCTATTTACAAGTCATACGTGACCTCTCTCGCTGTTGACCTGTGTATGGCTGAAATTAAATACATCATGCTCATGTGCTTTAAGTGCGCCTTGAATAGGCCAGGTCCAGCTCTGACAAGTGAGTGGATCTAGGAAGTGCCACCCAGTTCCCTGCTATCTGCTGCCTTATCTCTTTCTGCCCACCTGAGAGGTAAGGTGGGATTTTTAATCTTTCACATAGGGGCTCTTTACCCAGGGCAAGTATGCCCATTCAGCTCAGTTTTGTAGAGTGTGAGTCAAACTGTGCAAGGCATGCTGAAGTTGAACTTTTGGAATGTCTTAAACTGATTTTAGACAAGCTGACTTTTATCTTTTTTTCTTTTTTAATGAAATTGGTGTTTTCTTACTTAAGGAAGACAGAAAAAGGCCTGATTCTGCTTCAGGAGGTGTTAGCATGAGGGCACAAAGTGGAGAGAACAGGACATGGGACATAAGAGACAACACAGTGACCAAACTTGAATGTCCTCATTTGGACTCTCCAAAAACCCCAGATATTTCTAATTCATTTTCTAAGGACAGCCTGGATAGAGAGCTGCAGGAAAGAAGAGGGTACTACTGCATTTTTATTTAATGCCCTCCAGTAGAGAAAAGCAGCTGCAGTTATTTTGCCCAGTAAACAGATGTTAATGCTGAAATGCAAGTGTGAGAGAGCCATTTCCAACAGCAGCAATCCCCCTCTGCCCAGTTTCCTGAGTGCAGCAGCGGGGAGCAACAGCAATAATGTTCTGTCATGTTAGCTCTCCCTCAGCAGGTCTGTGTCATTAGGCATAAGAATAAAGCACCCCACTAGCAGTATGTTTCATTAGTATCAAATGAAAAGACCCAGTTGCAAGGTGCCAAAGGATTAAAACAGCCACAGCAGATGAACTCAGTGCTCCTGACAGTATGATAACCATCAGGGACAAATACAGCAGGATGGGAACTCATGCCTCCTCCTCTGTTTGTGATAGCACATGGATGTACATGTCTTGGATAGGGATTTCCTTCCACTGCCAGGTGGTTCTTGGGCTCTTCCCTCCAGACAGCCAAACTTTACCTATCCAAAGTTTAAATATTAACTATTCCTAAAATACCAAAACTCAATAAAAGGCTACATTTCCTTAACAATACATTTTCAGCAGGTATTCTGTAAATTACTCTTGTTTGTAGCTCTGGAATTTTTAATTCGATAACTTTATTTTGTGAGCTATCCTTTTCTCCTGATGTCATGAAAATATTTGTGCCCTAGCAATCTACAGAGAACCTTTTTGTGCTGAGCACTGCTGTACAGGGCCGAGTCTTGCTAATGTGTGTAGTTACATTTTCAGAGTGAAATAGAAGCAAATTTCAGCTGTTGTTCCTCATCTAAAAGCCTCTCAGCCTTCAGTTATTAGTGTCTACTTTTGGGGTTTCATTTACTCTTTTATGTGACTGTCTGTGTGACTTTTCAGAAATGTAAAGTGTGCTTACATACAACAGTGGAAGTTGCTTATTAATGCCTTAGAAACTCAGTTTGACAATCTAGGACAAAGCGTAGCATTCAAGGAAAGGACGAACTGGAATTTACACAGTAGCATGAATATACTTCTTTTATTGCAGGCTCTTATGGAAAACCCACTTTTTAAACTGGTACTGCACATCAAAGAAATACTTTGTGCTAATTTATCTATAATAACGGTTGAAGTCTGGTTTAAAGGGGGTTTATTAACCTGTACTGTACTACACTGAGTTACACTTGTTCATCAGTAGCCACATTATTCAAAATGTAGTAAGCTCTGAACAAACAGCAGTTGCTGATGAGTTAGCTACCAGTCAGGAGATTTGCCTGTTGGTACTTTAAAATGTGTAAGTAGTATTACTGAGACTCTGAGGTGTAATTGCTAGATACAGAAGAATTTTTTTCCTGCATAGCATCTTTGTAATACTGCAGATTACTGTTCTGATGCCCTTTGTTGCTATGGTTTTTCACGCCACTGTACAGGTTTTTTTCTCCTGTAATTTATACTATAAACCAGATCTTCTTCAGGTGGGATTTCAGAAATTCTCAGTGTTTATCCAGCTTTATCTTCTGTCTGAGCAATGAGCATTACTGCTGTACATTTCTGTGGGAGCAGAGGGGTCCATTCTGAATGTTGTAAAATTCTCTCCTCTCAGACATGAAAATTACTCCTGGTTACAGTTCAAGGTGAGTTTATAGCGAGGGAGCCCACCCAGGATCATCCCATGCATCAAACTCTAGGATCAGTGTGGCAACTCAGAGGCCCATTTCTAAACCGGTTCTGTTTCTTCTAGAACTGCTCTGCCTGGAAGCAAGCCCATGCCACTTTTGTTCCTGATACCTGAGAAATTTGCAAACAAGAGGCTGTTTTCACAAGAGGTGGGTGACACCAGTGTGCAAATGCTATTGCCACTGAAGAATTCAACAGGCTGTGGAGCTGTCGTGGTCAAAGCTTGTCACCCTTCTTCTGTCAACCACCAGGCACATGTCAAGGAGTCCTACCATCAGCCAAGGTAAAACCCAGCAGCAGGAGACCTTGCTTGCTGAATGCTACAAGTCAATTAAATGGCTATATAAGTGCAATTCCTAGATGGAAAAATAAGGTCTTTTAGTAAAGCAGGAGGATTACTAGGGCTGCAGTATGTTCTACTCTGATTTATTTGGGTATTTGGTTCTACTGTTTTTTCTTTCTAATAAACTACACTATTCTATGGTAGTAATACAAACCACTAATGTTTATTCAGAGATTATGATTTCAGATTGTACTGTTGGTAATAAGAGAAGAAATACAACTAAAAATGCAGTTCTTCCGTGTTAGTTTGTGTGTGGAAGAAAATGCCAATGGTTGATAGACTGTTCAAGTGGGATCATGACAATGACTGAAAAAATAACTTCTGAATGTCTTGAATGAGGTTGGAAGATGATGTCCAATTCCCCTGACATATTTTTGGTTGAATCAAAGCTGGGAATGAGGAGCCTTGAGTTTCTACGGATCTTGTAAGAAGTGGAGATGAATTCTTTGTTGTCCATCAAGCTGTGAACAGTTCATCTTTTCTGGAGCTCATTTCTTTTAAGGATCTTTATAAATATGTATATAATATAAATTCAGCATTCACTGACATTACAGTCACTTATCTCTAAACGCTTATGTGCCTCTTCTCTACTTTTTCTGGAGTTTTTGTGTCACAAAGTATTAGCAGAATCATCTTCAGCAGTCTCCATCAAAAATCCCTATCTTCAAAACCTGGAATTTATTTTTGACCATGCATTTTCAAATAAATGGTCACCACTGGCTCTGCTAAGAGATGAATGCATGAGTCTTAAAGCAAGCTGCCCTGTGCTGCATTTGAACTGAACAGGTTGAACAGGTCATTAATGTCATGCGTTCATATTTCTTGTAAGCAAACATTGCTTTCAGAAGCCGCACATCACCAAAGGGCACTGGTGGACTTGACTAACGGCCCTTGGCTTTTGTGGCTTTGCAAACTGGTTCTCTTTTTATTGTTTCCCAGGGAAATGCAGAGTTGTTTGTGGATTTTTGGTGAAAAGCTTCGGGGATTGCTAATTTTTCTTCTTTAAAGGTAGACTTGCATCATTTTCAAGTAATACTGGGATGTGTAATAATATACATTCCCCCCCCCCCCCCGCCTAGTGTTTCATATGCAAATACCATGAATTTCAGTGCCTTAAGCTAAATCAGAGGTTTAGAGGAAAAATTCTTAGTTAGCTTTAGATTATGTCCTGATTTTCAGCTTTATCTTCTTAATCCTGAGAAATCATGTCAATGAGAAATGAGACCATGAGAAATCATGGTCTTCTCTAGTCAGCTTCTAGGCAGGTATGCAGTTGAAAGTGAAAGATCTAGAAACTGTTCTTGGGGAATATCTGAATACCACAGGTCACTTTAAGTAGACACATCTCCTTCAAATCAAAACAATTGCAGACGGTTTAGCACTGCCATAGAATATTGAAACGCTCATCAGTGAACCTAGATTTGCACAGGGAGCACTTTGCTGCTGTGGCTGCACTGATGGTGTCACAAAGCAATTCCAAAAACTTTTCCATGGAAGAAAAGTAGCTCTTGCATTGTCTTCACCATGGCACAGTGTTCCTCATGTGGTGATGCTTCTTTGTAGGGCTGCATGAGGCACAAAAGCAGAGAACTGGCTGTATTAGGAATACCCCGGTGGCCTTTTGTCTTTCACAAGCAAGCATGATACCTGCATGCTGTTATCTGCCTTGTCTGTGACCATAGTCCACCATGGCAACTCACTGTTTTGACAAAGACCCCATCTTATGAGTACTATGTTTTAAATTGTTGTTGGTCTGCACTTCTATAGAAAACGTTATTTGAACTAAATTCCACTTGTGTTTAAGGAACTTCTTAGTTCCCTTTGAGTTCTCTTCTATGCATGAAAGATGAAAATTCAAAGAAGTTGTATGAC